CCCTCCCCCCCCCCCCCCCCCGCGCGTTCTCCTACTCTCTTCCGGTTCTCGAAGATGCGCCCGCGTGTAATCGCTCGATGGGTTCTAATCGGCCGATCGATCGTTCCCCGCGACGTTATCGCGTGCGACGCGATAAGAATGGTTCTCGTTCGTCGCTTCGATCGCTACTTTGCTCCGCGTCGCACCGCTTCGAATCCGCGTTCCGATCCCTTCGTCCGAACAATCCCTCGTCCGCCACCCAATAACCTGGTTTAATTAAATTCAAAACGGACGGACGGACTGTCAGTCGGTTTCTTCGATATCCAATAACCGCGACGTACGAGCGGCTGGCAAACACCCAGGAAACTGGTGCAAACTCCGTTTCGAAGCGACTTTATCTCGCCCGCGAGACACACAATACCGTCCCTATATAACAGAAATATCGGCTGAATACGCGTCCCGACGGACGCACCACGGTACACGCGCCACCACAGGGCCCTTCCATTGTTTCGGAGTTCGAGACTCCGGAGTGGAGAAACTGTGGCGCGACGTACGCGCGGCGATGCCTCGTCACAGTTTGCCTCGTGCTCGGTGGATCCGTTTATCGGCTATCGGATCGAAACTGTGCGGGGCGCCGTTGTTGTACGTTCGAGACCGGCATCGGACCGGCCAAGAAAGAATCGTCGTCGGCGACGCGTCGAAAACGGCCGGGGACCGTTTCTGCGAGGAAGCATCGGTAAATTCGATAGCGACAACAGCGACGCGTCGCGGCGAGGAAACGATGACGCGAGGCTCGTTCGTAGCCGAATGGGATCGTCGGAGACGGTCGGTGTGTGCCTGTTTGTTGCAGGAGTGGGGAGGAAGTGGCGGACGCGCGCGGCAAGAAGTTGGAGACGAGCGACGTACTGAAAAAATACGATCGTTTATTTTCTATTAATAAAATTATATAATAATTCTCACGGCTTAGAATTCGAAGGTGAATTAAATTAACCAAAGAGGGCGTCGTGAGCGGAGCCCTCGGACGCGGAATTATGGAGCATCGTCGCGGGATAGTGAGAGGTAACATCGCCGGTCCCGGACTGTTCGGACCCGTCGATGGACATTCCGGGATTCCCGCCTCCTCCTCCTCCGCCCGGGCCGGGACCGGGTCCCGCTCCGGACCCGACGGCGGGCCCGGACACCCTCAGAGGTTTCACGTCCTGGGAGACGTCGTACATCGTTCGGTTCTGCAGATTCTGCGAATTGATCTCGTTGTAGACGAGCTCCTGGATCTTTAGTCTGACGAACATCTGCCTGTCCAGCGGCAGGCTCTTCAGAGGATTTCGAACGCTCATCAGGAAGTGGTAGGTGTCGTCCAGCTCCTCTTCCTGGGACACGCCCAATCTCTTCTGCAACGACTCGTACCGTTCCCGATCGATCTCGCAGTAATCGTTGTCCAGGACGTTCACCAGGCTCCTCTTTCTGCCGATCTTGTTGAGCTTCGGCGGCGGCATAACGTGATGAAGACCGTCGTCGTTCGACAGCAGGGACTGGCAAGAGTCGCCGTCCAGGTCGTCGAACTGGGTCTCCTCGTGGCCCTCGAGAATGTCGATCTGCGGCTCGATCTGCGTCCCTTCCGGCGAGCACCGAAGGATCGCCGAGCATTTCTGCGAAAGGGCGCAACCGATCACCCGGGAGTTCATTTGGTCCCGCAAAAAGAACAGACTCTTGAACCAAACCCACTTGGAATCGTGCTCGATGCCGCCACCCTCGCATTTCCCTCGATAAGTCTTCTTCAGTTCGTTGCGAAAGTTGTCCCGCAAGTGTTTCCATTTCGATTTCGCGACGTCCGCTGCAAAACCAACAAACGATTCTCCCGTTAATCTGTGTCCGGCACGAACCGGCCGAACTTTTCCCAGCGCACCCTGCTCCCCTCCGTTTGCCCGCGACTAATTCGATTACTCGTCTCGTCTCGTCTCGTCTCTCGCGTCGCGTCGCGTCGCGTCCCTCGTCACACACTCGTCGTCCCTTCGTCCCTCGTCCCTCGTTCGAACGGCCTGCGAACCACGGCCCACGAGTAGTCGCGAGCTCGCGTACTGTGCCCTACCACCGACCGCCTATCGATCGAACGGAACGCCCGGTTAATTTCGTGGCCGACGACGCGCAGGCGTTTCCGTGCACGTTGTTCCCTCCGGTCGGCTTCGTTTTCCGATCGACGGAATCGACTCTCTCGGAATTAACGGAATTGCTTTTCTTTCCCCTGTTGTTGCCCCCTTTCCCCGTACGACGAGGAAAGAGAATACATAATTCGATCGACGCGACGGATCTTTCGATGTTCCCGTGGTTGCGGAGCAGAACGGCGCGGAGCGCGACCTCGCGCGGAACGCGAGCCAAACCAAACAACAACGGCGGCGGCGGCGGCGGCGCGCGCGCTCGTTGCCTGTTATATCGATGTTGCAGCTTGCTCGGCACACGCCGGTGATATCGGCGTTCGAACGACTCGATTCGACCAGACCTCGGCTCGATTGTCGACTCGCGAGTCCTATATAGAGTAAATCGATCGATTGAAAGTCGTAGAAGAGAAACGTACAGAGGGGGGACACGGGCGTGTGTGTGCATCGCCTGCCGCCCCTGCCGCTGTCGCGCCGCCGGTGGTCTGGCGCAGGGGCTGGTAGAGGGAGGGGGGAGGTAAACGCGTACCGGTAAAAAAGGGAGAGGGTTGGATGGAAAAGCAAGCGGGCGGAACGGAGAAGGAAAGAGAGGGAAATGGGGGAGAGGGAAAGAGAAAGAGTGTGGGTCGACGCAGGCGCGCGCGCGCGTACCTCTCCTCCGAGAAAGAAGAGAGGAAGAGAGAATAGAGAAGAGTGAGAGAGCGAGGCGCGTAGTGTACTCACTGGAGACCTCGCAAACCCTCGCGATCTCCCGCCACATCTTCTGGATGACGTCGCGATTGTGGTAGTTGACGTTCTTCTGGTCCCAGATCGCGGGCCTGGCGTGCACCTCGGTGATCAGTCTCTGGAGATCCATCGTCATCGCGTTCCTACGAGCGCTCGCGTTGCATCTCCTGGACGATCGCTTGTTGGTTTGTCGACGGTTGAGAAGCGTGATGCCGGAGCTGATGGAGGAGGCAGCCGCGCGCGAGCCGCTTCCTCCTCTCGATACGATTCGTTGGGACTCGTTGGTGTTGTGCGAGGACCGATTTCTCGAGGACTGCTTGGTCGATTCCTCGTTGGGAATCGACGCCTCTCCTCCCGGCAGTAGTTGTTGTTGCTGGAGCTGCTGCGAGAGTTCGAACGCGGGAATCGCGTCGGTGGTTGTTTCGCCGCTATCGCCGCCGGCAACGACGACGACCAATTCGTCTTCGTCGTCGACGTTACTGTTTCGTCGCTGTTGCCGCCTCCTCTTCTTTCTCTTGCGCCTGGCGATACGAGAGCTGCCGGCCGAGGAGGAGCTCGCGAAGCCGAGCCGAGCGGAGGATCGCAGGCGAGACGAATCCAGGGCTTTTTCCTCCTCGACTCGTGCACGCGTGCCGCCGTCCATACACGGCCGGTACACGCGCGCGTTCAGCCGGGAAGACGCGCACCCGCTTTTCGAACGATTTGCTCGGACCCGAACTCGGACTCGAAAGCGGACTCGGTTTCGGTCTCGACTTTGCTCGCCACTTCAGTTTCGATCCCCGCGCTGTACGGTCTCGGTCTCGGCCTTGTTTTCCGCTCGGACCGTGGCTGTGTGTGCCCCCTCGTGTGTAGTCGTCGTCGCCGTCGTCGTCGCGTCGTTGTCGTTGTCGTCGCCGTCGCCGTCGCCGTCGCCGTCTTCGTGTTCGTTGCCGTAAGTTGGCCCGCGCGGTCGCGTCGACGGGCCGAAACGACACCAGCCTGGATTATTACTAGACGACACGCGCACCTTCTCGGCCGTCCGTCCGTCCGCTTGCTCGTCGTCAGCTAGCGTTTCCACGGCGAGCGAGCTCGAGTCCCTGCCTTCCTTCACTTTTGCCCACGGTTTCAGCTTCGGCTTCGGCTCCGCTCGGCTCCGCTCGGCTCGACCCGCACGCCACCGCTCGTCACCGCTCGTCACCGCTTGCGATCCGCACCGGGCTTTCCTGCTGCTCGCTTCGCGATCGCTTCTTCGAAACCAAAGCCGAGCCGAGCCGAGCCGGGCCGAGCCGAGCCGTGTCGAGCGGAGCCGAGCCGGGCCGAGACCTTCGTCTCCTCGCAGCCTATCGCTCGACCCGCGCCGCTCGGCGCGGCTCCGCTCCGCTCGGCGTCTCCGTCTCGCCTCGTCAGCTCCTACCGATGGCCACTTCCTCTTCGCGTTTTTCTCGTCGCGCCCCGCGCTTTGCTCTGGAAAATACGACAAGGGCCCGCACGCGACATTTCAATTTAAACGAGCTTTACACGCCTCGGAACGGTCGTTTCCGCGCGCGCGGACAGCTCCGGCCGTGCGCGCGCGACGCCCGTTCCCTTCGGATTCGCGCGCTAAACGGCGCAACGCTCTGCATCAGCCGGTTGCGCGACTTGCTACGCGGAGCCGGCTGGGATGACGATCGTTCAGCGGCCAAGTCGAGCGTTTTCGGCTCGGCTCGGCTCGGCCCGGCCGACACGGCTCGGCTCCGCTCAACCTTCCCCGATTCGATACGTCCGAGGCCCAACCACCTTGCGCGCTCGATCCGCCCGCGTTGCCTGCCGACTTCTGCGTAACCTGCGGCAACCAAGGTCTGCCGGCGTGCCGACTATCACGCATCCTTGCCTCCTATCGAGCTCTCTGCCTTTCCGCTCCTTCGCAGAGCCGCCCGTGTCTATACATACGTATTCTCCACTCGCCTAACTTCGCGTTGATTATTTGCTTGTAAATAATTCACAGCAGAGTTTTAGGCAAAAGTATATTCATTGAACACGCAAGATCTAATCTACAGGCTTGCTCGCGAGAGGTTAGAGACAACTAGGCTGCTCACCGACGACTGACTAAAAACGCGGTAGATCCGCAAACTGTGCGTCGAAAAATCCTTGGTGGTCGTAAACAACCAATCCGTGTAACGGACTCGAGTCGAAACGGTGCCCTGCAGATGGGCCGCAAGGGCCGTTTTACCTAAAAAACGGACAAGGCCGTAGAACAATACAAATTACCCATTTTCAACGGCATTGAAAATGCCAGACATTTACGCTTCGATCCTGATTGCCACGCCGTGCAACGTCCCGGCGGAATCCGCTCGCGCATTCGCGAAACAACAGGCAGCGGATGTATCGTAGGGTGCAGGGTGTAGGGCGCAATACGTTGGGCGCAGGGCGTAGAGTGTACCGCGATCGATAGTGGAGAGAACACGCGCGGATCGCCGATGCGACGGGAACAGTTTTTGTTCGTTGATACATCATCATCATCATTTTTGTACAAAGATTTTTGTTTACGGCCCGACCGATAATCCGAGCGTCACCTTGCTTCTTCAATTTCGATGCTTCTTCTAGATTTGCTGGGTCAACGCTGCCCTTTAGAACCACGTTCTGACTCATCGAGATTTAACGCGACCGAGCCTTTTCACAGGTCACTTCAGATCACGTCGATGTTTTTATTTACATAAAGTGAGAATTACAGCGAGAGATCAACACTCTAAACCTACCGCCGGTCAAAGTGACCGCTTTCTTATTTTGCAATTCTGCAATGCTCCGTGACTCTTTCGTGGAAAACGCTTGAACAAGTTATGTTACTGGAGCAAGTTTTCTAATAAAAACTAATATAATAAATTCTATTATAATAAATAAATAATTATTATAAATATTATATATATATATAATATAATATAACATAATATAATATTATATATATAAATATTATAATAACCTATTATAATAAATTCTAAATAAATTCGGTCTTCTCGCTTTTGCGAAGCAGTACATGCCAGTTAGCATTACCGCTTGGTAGGTTTATCGTTGAACCGCTAATTCGCAGGTTTTTTTTGTATTATATTAAAATTAGCTTTTACTTTTGTATTGTAAAAAATAGAAATGGGGTTTTTTACCCGTGTATGTGAATATATTACATGAAATAAAAATGCGTTTTGATAGCTTGATCGGGGATTATTTTATTGGTTCATTATGGATCGATGGGAGGCCAGATCGACGAGTGACTTAAACGAGACGAAACTCGATGAAAGTCGGTATGTTGTCCACCATTTCGCTGTCGTGGGATATTATGCGGGCGTCGAGGTTGGGCTTCGGGATTCTCGCGTTGATTTTCTCTATGAACGCTTTCATCACGTCAAGGCTTTGCTCCTCTATCGTTTTGATCACCTCTTTCCGGAATATGCCGACGAAAACCTTGATCGCGATGTTCAGCACATGATCGAGTTCGTGGCCCTCGAGCTTCACGTCCATTTTCCTGAAACGCGAGTGAAAACAGAACCGATGAAACGCCTGGACTACGAAACGCGACAGAATCGCGAACGATAATTACCCGACAGAGGCGACATGGAGCGTATCGAGTTCGGCCTTGTATGTGTGCAGGTCTACGGTAAACATCAGCCGCATATTTATGTTGCTGAATCTGCCATGGAAGCCACCTTCTCGCGAGATCAACGAGTATTGGAACAAGTAGTCGTACGTGAGCTTAAAGATTCGAAAAAAAAAATCAGAGATAACGATCAAATTTTCGTTCTTATCGAGATGCTATCTCGCCCGAGATGAACATCTGTCAGCCCGATAATCCAGGTGTATCGAATCTTACATCCATAACGTCAAGTCCCAGCAGAGCGTCTATTGTTATCTTCTTGTCGTCGTACGATAGAATCACGTCGCCGCTACGCTTCACCTGGCCCAATCCAGACATCCAGCCGTTGGTCAGCTGGAGCACTCCATCGTGGATTATACCGGGCTGAAAACAATTCGCGAAGGCTTTAAGGTTAGGTTTTCGAAAATGCGATCTTGTACAATAATGCGCGCGAGAGCAGACGGAAAATCGTTTCTCCATTACAAGTGTAATTATTAGACTGCGAGTTTTATGCGTTTATGATAGAAATTTGTGGCTGTCAACTATGAAATTGCGAGGACGCAAGAAGGATGTAGTAATATACAGGGTGTCCCAGGTTTTAATGTTCGAACTTTGTTAGCGTATTGGAAGGGATAGTAAGTTGGATATTAACCCTTTGCACTCGAACCCATTTTAACTGTAAATCGAAAATCATTTTTCTGACTCGTATTACTTTCATTTCAAATGACAAAGTGCATTTTACGCGTACAAAATTGAGTCTTGCGACAGCTACACTTTCAATAATGTTTCAAATCTAAACTTTGATAATATAAAAATTATCTTGGAACGTGATATAACAATTTTTTTAGCGGTGCCTCGGAGTCACCACTCGAGTGCGAAGGGTTAATGATTTCATAAAGAAAAATCGGATCGTTTTGACGCATCGGCAACGATACATCGAGTAGCAGAAAAATAGATATGTACCAGATTCTCTTTCATGTCCTTCATTTTCAGAGGATCCATCCCTTCTTTTATAATCATCTCCCGCACCGACGGCAGCATCTCGTCGAAGATCTTGTTGATGTTGGAGCTCAGGTCATTGAAGATCGCGATCTCGTTATCCTGATCTCTGTGAACGCAAACGTAGCGATCGTTATTTCGTTACTTATTTATTGGGCTGGCAACCAAGTAATTGCCGATTTCAGTTATAGACGTCTCTCACTCCCATTTTAATCATATCCGTAAATGTTATATTATAAAATTATTATTATTATTATTATTACTATGTTATTTTTTATTATCCGTGAATGTTAGCAACTGGACAAATTGAATGCAGCGGTGAAGGAAAAGCGAGCAGAATTGGTCGATCGTAAAGGTGTCATTTTCCAGCAGGACAATGCTAGGCCGCGCACGTCTTTGTCCATTGGGCAAAAATTGATGGATATTGCTTGGAAATCGATGTTACACCCACCATATAGCCCCGATCTCGCGCCATCGGATTACCACTTATTTCGATACCTGGACAACTCCCTTCGTGGTAAAACTTTTAACGACGATGACGCGCTGTAAAATCTCACTTAACTCAGTCTTTTGGCCGAAAAGGATCAGACTTTCTACGAGCGTGGGATTTTCAAGTTGTCGGAGAGATGGCAAAAGATCATCGAACAAAATGGAAAATACATTACAGATTAAACTTCGTTCCAAGTAGAAAAAAAATTGTTATTTCATCGAACAAATCGGCAATTTTAGTTGCCAACTATTATTTTATAACTTTTAACTTACTTTTACTTTATAACTTTTATATTATTATTATTGCCGAGTAATAATAGGGCACACGGCACACTTACCCATCGGGAACGGGCACGGCGACGCTCAGGTTCAGAAGACCGAACGCAGCAATGAACAGATATACAAAGGCCATGGCGAATGGACGCGCGGACGACGAATTGCAACTGATCTCTGACTACCGATTCCTCCCGAATTCCTTAGTTTTATTGACGGGCCGTCGGATTATCTTGTCCGTCTTATCGCGATATCGACTTCTATCCTCATTATCGTACTTAATAAGCGAGCAAAACGCTGATACAATCAGCGATACGGATTTTTTGTTTCTCAAACAGGGATACACAGTGATATGAAAATGATCAAAAATGATTGCGGCCGATTACTTTTCGTGTACGACTAGATTTTCTAATCTCGTGGCAAAAGTATTATCGCAGAGTAGTTGGTAGAATATTTTATAAGAATGATGGAACCGTGCTTGCAATCGCAGCTGTTCGAACAATCAACCATGCGCGGTGGATTTCGATGCACCGAACGCGAAACGGAAAATAATCATCTTGTACCCTAGACATAGTCATTTTCTGCGAGTTTCGCCGTGAATTCACTGAGAAAATCGAACTGCATCGCGTCGTAGTAAAGGGCATATACATGTGTTCGTTATCTCGTGCACGTCGATCGAGATTTGTTATTAAATTATTCTGAAAAATCTGACCTTTGTCTCGCGGATACAAAAGATAAGAGATAAGAGATCAATGATCGTTCAAAGTCAGCGAACGGTCCAATCAATCAAATCGAGTTGGATCGATCTTTTCTTCGTGTAAAAATGAAAAATATTTTCCTCTTATGAACAAAAGACAATTACGTCTACGATATCGTGCACACAAACTGGAATAATAGTTTCAGCTCGGAAACTTTATTATTATGCTCGATTTATATGAACTTTAGCGATAATTATTGGCCGTGATAAATACGGTCGTCTAGACAGGGTGTCCCAAAAATGTCTCGCAATCCGAGAATGGAAGGTTCCTCGGGTAATTCGAAGTAAGTTTGTCCTTGGCGAAAATGCAATCCGCGGCTTCGTTTGCGAGTTATTAACGAAAAAGAGTGACCAATGAGAGGCGAGATATGCTGGCGCAAGGCGGCGGAGCCAATGAGCGGTACTGGGCTTCGCGCGCTCGTTGGCTCGGCCGCCAAGCGCTGGGCGAGCTCGCCTCTCATTGGTCAGTGTTTTTCGTTAATAATTTGTGTAAACGAAGTCTCTCGAGTTGCATTTTCGCCAAGGAAAAAGTTACTTCGAATGATCCCGGGAACTTCTTATTTCCGGTTTGCGAGACATTTTTGGGACACCCTGTATCTACCTATCAGAGTTAGACAGAATTTGATTGAGATTACGATGGAAGATATAAAGGCTTAACGGATATAATTCTATTCGAATAAAATTTTATCTGCATTCCGATCGAGTTCGGTATCGAGGCAATTCGATCGCGGTCGAAGATTCGCCTCGGAGAAGGAAGTTGAGCGACCGCGGTTTTACGATTCTGCGAACCGCCTGCTGTCGCTTTCGTTCAAGGTCGAACGCTCGCAAAGCGAGTTTCCTTTCGCGCTGCGACCTACCGACCGAAAGTGTCGATTTCATCTGCAGGTTATGCGAACCACGCTTTCCTATATCCTACAGAGTTTGTCCAACGGGGCGAATGGAATAGAACGAACCCTTTCGCTTTCGACTTCCCGAACGACACGACGAGCGCGACGCAATCATCGAATACGGTAATGTCTCCCTAATTCGCGCTCAGATTGCACGCGAAAGTGAACAATTCTGGAAGAGCAGATACGATTATCCGAGCCTAGTATCTCGATTGTGTAATTGTTGACGATCGGTAATTATAAAAACGAGCCGCGAGGTTATGTCAAGGTATAATTATCGTATACCAATAATCGTATCTCCTCTTCTCAAATCGTCCATTGTTGTGCGCAATCTGAGCACGAATTAGGGAGAAAATACTGTGAGTACGTTCGCCGGCGGAAAGAGTGGCATCGATCAACTTTATCGACGCGAACGCACGCGGTTGGCAGCGTGGTGCCATCGCGGTGACGAGTGGACGGCTAACCAGCTGATCCACTGTTCTACGTTAACGACTTCACAAAAGATCGTCGCTGTTGAAGGTTGTCCCTGCGACGGACATAATATTTTAAATTACGGTATTACATTGTTGCACGATGTGCTGCGTCGCATCTGGCGAGAGAGTGCGACGACTGTCTACTGTCTGCGTTGTCTTTTTTTTTGAGGTTCCTACGGCCAAAAATTTTGTTCTTCAGTTAGTTGCTTGCGGACGAGCGAGGTGTGCAGTTGTGCCTACCGAACCGTCGCGCGTAATATCGGTTAGCTTTCGTCGCCGTTGCCCGCTGACAGCTGCTTTCATCTCTTTCAAAACCGAATCGACTGCGATCCTCGACTATCATCCAATTTGTGACCGTTCGCAACGCGGATAAACAATGATCACGAGTTCGTTGCCGAAGCGGGACTTGGCGTAAACAAACAGACGATTGTTGCTACATTTGTTTTTCGCGTTCCGCCAGCAATTGTGACGGAGTTCGCGCGCATCGCGCCGCCTAGTCAAGCATTCGATGACGCGCTTCTTGTTTACAATAACAAGAGTAAAGCAGCAAGTTCGATTCGACGAACGGTTCACTGTGTTTTCGATCGCCGTTACGCACCCGCCGCGCGTTTCTTTATCCGGAATCGCTTCTCTTCACCGCGAAGGCCTTGATTTTGTTGTTCGAGGACCGGTAACCGATGCGTTCCGAGGAACTCCAGGGTCTATTGCGTCTGGCGTTCGCCGAGTATTTGCACGCAAACAACCGGAAGCTATGGGAGTCGCGCGACAATGTCGAGGTTGAACCGGCTACGTAATCTTCGCGGGCGATATGTGTTTTCCCAACGCTTCCACCGACCCGATACCGAGTAAATAATCTTGTTTGCTCGCGTTATCCGCGCACGATCTTGCAACGTGCGAGCTCGTATGTGTAACTAAGTATCGCCAGGGGTCCATTGCGAAAGCAGGCTGTTTTTTTCTTCGAAACGTAAAAGCTTCGTCCCCGTTATCGTCGATCCGAGCTTCGATTTTCCCGATCGTGGTCGACGGGGATTAACCCTTTTAGCGAAAAAGAGGTGCCTATGCGAGAATAACCGGCCGAATTTCACGGTTTTACCAGGGTTTGGGAAAATGCTCGAAAAAAGCTGAACAAGAAACGATATTTACATGATTCAAGAAGCGGTAAATTAAGGACGAAATAGGGAACGAAATAATGACACTAGATTTTCTGTATTCGTTGAGAATTATATAAATAACAAAGGTATAAAAGATCATAAGGAAAGTAAAAGTCCGGTTCTCTCTTACAAAACGTATTTGCACATACGAAAAGTCATCTTTTCGTCATAATTTTATATTGATCATTTATTACAAAGTATATACTTTGCATTCCTGATATATTTTGTAACAAGATAAATAATATTACGTAACAAACATAAAGAAATAACTCGAAGGTACATGGCAAGCGCCGGACGGATTATCTCTTCCGAAATATGTAATTGTTATAAGTAATATAATGGTGTCATAAATATATTTGTGATATAATTTTGCATAATACTTCATTATAATAACATAAATATTTATATTTATATATTGTAAATATATATAATTTTGCGTCATGCTTTATTATAATAACATAAATATTTATATTTATATTTATATTTATATATTGCAAATGTGTAAAATTTTGTTATTATAAAGCGCTATAAGGCGCGAGCCGATATATCGGCTCTGGCACTTCTCGCCAGTGCAGCAAGAGCAGATATATCGGCCTCCGGCACTAAAAGGGTTAATACTTTTCGATCAACGACGTATGATCGCATACCTATTATTTGTACACAGATTGATCCATCAGGATACCTCCAGTCCGCAAACTCTCGAAAAAAACTTTAACGAACCGACCCGTATCCTTAAATATTCTCCACTTTCTTCTCACAAAAGCGCATCTATATCGGCATTACAACTGTTTAAACCGATTATTCTCAATGACAATCGTTATTGCCATTCTCTCTATATTTTTCGTAATTTTAAACCAACCATAATCCTTGACTTACTGTCGTCAACATTACTGTAATTATTAGACTGCAAATTGTTATGCATTTATATAATAACGCACGATATATTATAACACAAACGAGTGGATGCAATTTAAAACACTAAGAAGACTTGAAAGAATCGAAGAGCATGTATATATACAGTTGAGGTGTTATTAAGATTTTTTTTAACACGTCGAATGCCACGCCGGTTTTACAGAAATTCTCCGTGGCGCCGCGATGAATTTATGTGGTACATATAATGTTGAAATATTATCTGCGATAGATAAGTTACAGTGTATAAACATGTTTGACATGTTAATTGCGACAGGGGTCACCGTTTGAGTCGACGATGGTAATAATACAAAATTTTAGATATCGACATTTGTTTGAAATTATATATATTTCTATCACTAATTTGGCGTCACCGCCAAGTTAAGTGCCGGTCACCGGTGACCCCCGTGGCATTCAACGTGTTAAACTTGTCCCCGATCAGTGACACATATCGATTTCATTCAAAATTCCGTTTCAAAATTTCATATTTCTTTCTTACTGTGTCGCTTCCTTACTTCTTCTACTAGAATCTCGGTTAATCTTTATTATTTAGATTTTTAATTATTCCAAGTAATAACGATGAAATTGTAGAATAAATCTCAACTTACCGTCTTATACTATTTTATTAATAATTTCTCGAAAATAAAATGGAATTAACTATCGATTCTGAATTCGAATAATTAATTGAAGTTCTATTGTACTAATGGAACATAGGGACATTTCTCTTGTTATTGTTATAAAATGATCGACGATCCGTCGATCTTCTTAACAAAGAATGAGTTTATCGCGTAATGTCTGCTCAAACAATCGGAGTTGATTTCTTCAGAAGCAACGTAATGAATCATGTCACAATAGTATCGATTTTGTTGAGGTACATTCAACTTATCTCAATATTTTATTATTTTATTTTATTTAATTAATTTTATTTCATTTATTTTATTTATTTATATTATTATTTATTTTATTTAGACATGATGCCTCTTAGTCATTCTCCGAATCGTTCGCTTTCGTACTAGACTTATCCGACTTCCCGCGTTTCCTCAGAACCTAAATTACTCTTAAATTTAGTGTTACCTTCGGTCATTAGTGGACTACGAATCTTTATGCGGAATAAGAATTATCCGAGTTAATTGTAAAAAAGATATAAATTCGATAGAGACGTCTTCTCTCTTCGAACAATCTCAATTAGCTGAAAATAACGTAACAGTATCCTTAAATTCTTCCAACGTCATTTTACTTTTGTACTTGATCCGTTCACGTTTGTCGTGAACGTATAAAATCCGCGGTCTAGTCATTGGTATATTATTCTCGTTCGTATACATCTAGTATTCTCTTTTATAAACGGGCTCTGATGCATCCCCATATAACACTAACAATGTTACATATACAATAATAAAGTTTCGGCACCGTTGGGTCGGCGGACGGGACACACATCGTCCCGTCGAATCGGGTACAGTCAAAAGGAAAGTATCCGTTCCCTTTCGCTTTGCAATTTCCTCTCACGAATTTCGTAACGTAGAACGCAGCGCCGCTCGATCGGGCGAACAACGACTACGACACGCCGACTGCCGGCTATCGGACAGGGCGGTTGGTCAATGTGCATTTCTCTGATTAATCCCTCTGTTTTTCTCGATTCCACATAGCTGCCCGGGTTCGCGCGTGTCCGTCGTACACTCGGCCGTCGATCTGGGTCAACGATCCGATACTCTCGCGACGCGTCTCGACGGCCTGAACGGCTCTGTACGCGACGCCTCCGCGGCTCGGCGCGTCGACGCTTCGCTTCCTGTCTTTCTCCGACGCGTGCGAGCCAGATGGCAAAAGTAGGAGGCTCGGCCCCTGGTCCGAGGACGACCGACCAATCGGAACGGCTTACGCCGTAAGGCAACGCACGCCGACGAAAACACCGCGCTCGCACGTTTTCTCTGTCTCGGCACTCCCGATGGCGCGAATTCTGTTTTCCCGTGTGCGCGCGTATACGCCGTGTGCTCGCCGATAATAAACAATGCCGTCGAAACTCGTTGCCTGGTCGGAGGCTCAGTTGGACTCGGTACTTGGTTCGAAGCGGACGGCGTCGTCGCGAACGAGCACCCGCGAGCTTTCTTCGCGACACCGAATCACGGAATATTCCGAAAGGTTGGCCGCGAGCCGACCCGAAATTTCAACCAACGGTATTTACCTCGGCGGACTTTTTGATCGCGCCCACCAAAGCGGGTACGCCACCGGCAGCAGCGTCTCGCTGTACCCTCGCGGAGCTTTTAACCGGACAGGACGGAGTTTTCAGCGGTCTCTTTGCTTCGCTCGGTAAGTGTCGGCTGACGCCAACGGTCCTTTCGCGAATCTCTCTTCTGCGACCGAGAGTATGTATCGTCGACATATGAACGCTAGCGTGTCATACAAAGACGATTCTCACAGCGTGAGACAGAATCGATTCGTTCACGATATTCTTCTAATCTAATCGCCCCGACGGTCGAACGGCCTATCGGATAGAAAACAGGAAATACGAAAATGGAAACGGAAATTCCAATTGTGCAATTTTCTTGCTCTTGTTCGCGAGCATCGATTGGCACTGCTCGCGTAAATTTCATTTAACCGTTNCACACACACACACACACACACACACACACACACACACACACACACACACACACACACACACACACACACACACACACACACACACACACACACACACACACACACACACACACACACACACACACACACACACACACACACACACACACACACACACACACACACACACACACACACACACACACACACACACACACACACACACACACACACACACACACACACACACACACACTTTCCCTCTCGCTCCCGCTCCCAGCCTTTTACTCTTCGTTTGTCTTATTTTTGGTGAGCAAACAGCTCGGACGGTAATTTCCATTCAGCTGTTTTCCACTGCAGCGATGGCTCGCTGCGCCGATGTCGATGTCGATGTCGATGTTGATGTCGGTGCGTGTTCGCGAGACTCGTCGAAGCCTGTGTCAAGTCCATGGCCGAGGAATAGTAAAAACTGGGCGGAAAGCCAGCCATCGAGAATCGTTGTTGCTCGTCCGTGTACGGCGTGCGTGGTGTTGTTTGCTCGTTAAGCGACAAAGCGGTGTCCACACACCGCCGATATAGAGCCTAGACCTGCTATTCCAAAATTGGATTCGCGCGGACGTCCGCGTTGCTTGCTCATCGATCGCGTCTCATCGCTTCTCATCCCGTCTCGTTCAATCCCGTCCCGTTCCGTCTCGCCGCGTCGACGCGTGCATTCGAACACATTCCACGCGCAACAACCGATTTTCCAATCGAAACCAATCGTTTCTTTCCATTTCGAAATTCCAATCGACGCGACGCCGCGTCGCGCCGCGCCGCGTTCATCCCGACGAAAGCCCGACAAGCCCGATGCACACTGGTACGCGTCATTCGCGTAAAAGTACAACATGAAATAGCCGTTTCATCTGGCACGCGATTAAACGTCAAACCGGTGTTACATAATCCGTGCGCGCACGTGTCTGTGTGTGTGTGTGTGTGTTTCGCAACACTATGTAACGAGCGACGCGCTCGATCGCCGATCGTCGAACCGATCTGCTCGTAAATCCGAGTCCACCGGAGATGCGCCCCGAAAATTTGATGCGTGACACATCTTCGACTCAACGACGGATTTATCGTTAGTTTGAAAAATATTATACAATCGACCTTGTTTTCTTGAAATTCAAAGTTTATCTAAACGACTTCTAGGAACGCGTCTCTACCACTTCGATCATCGTAATACGGAGAATCCGATGCCAATTATTGGGTTGGCAACTAAGTAATTGCCGATTTCAGTTATAGATGTCGCTCACTCCCATTTTTATGATATCCGTGAATGTTATATTATAAAATTATTATTATTATTATTACTATGTTATTTTTTATTATCCGTGAATGTTAGCAACTGGACAAATTGAATGCAGCGGTGAAGGAAAAGCGACCAGAATTGGTCGATCGTAAAGGTGTCATTTTCCAGCAGGACAATGCTAGGCCGCGCACGTCTTTGTCCACTCGGCAAAAATTGATGGATATTGCTTGGGAATTGTTGTTACACCCACCATATAGCTCTGATCTCGCGCCATCGGATTACCACTTATTTCGATCCCTGGACAACTCCCTTCGTGGTGAAACTTTTAACGATGATGATGCTGTAAAACCTCACTTAACTCAGTTTTTGGCCGAAAAGGATCAGACTTTCTACGAGCGTGGAATTTTCAAGTTGTCGGAGAGATGGC